AATCTCCCAGGACGCCTGCGCCTGCGGAGGAGGGCCGAGTCGTGAAACTGGAGCCTCTAAAACATCCAGTGGGATCTAGGATCCATAACCCTTTCCCTTTCTCCCCCCTCCCCCCTCTCTCTCTCTCTCTCTCTCTCTCTCTCTCTCTCTCTCTCTCTCTCTCTTTTTAACACACGCACACATCTCTAAGATCAAAAGAGTTATTTTTCTTACACTCTGACTCCAGCATCAAACAGACGCCCCTGTGACACCTGTCGGGCCGTCGGGACGAAACCTAATCCTAGGGTCCACTCGGCTTGACTATCGACTGTCGTAACGCTGGCTGTTTGTGGGGGCTGCAACTGCAAGGCGAGGTGGCCCATCATGCGCCGTTGCGTCATCAACACTTCCGATCAACCGCGCCCCGCTTCGCTCATAGCCCCCGTCGTCGGACGGGACACTCGGCCAACGACGTGACTGTTGAGGCTGTTGAGGGGGCCTGATGAGGTGATGTGTGCCATTCGCTCCGGCTGCATTCATTCAGTCGCACCGCAAACGCCTCTTAGAATCAATCAGCACGCCACTCGTCGGGCGTGACCACCGACATGTCACAGCTGAGCTAGCGCCACGGGGGCCCCGCTCGTGGACATGAGGTTCCGCACGTTCAGCTCATGGATATGGAGGGCGGCGGCGCCAGCGGCGGCGCCCCGACACGACCCGTTTAGCAGAGCCCGCCTGGTCATTTCCTATTCGCCCCGAGCGGCGCAGCCGAGCCCTGTGGAGGCCAAAACAAATAATGCCCTTCCCTCTCTCTCCCAATTATTATTATTTCATCGTCTGCCACAATCGTATCGTTCATGTGAGGACAACGGCGTAATGACCTGCAGTACGGCATATCTGTAGGTGCTATGGCATTGGGACCAATCAAGTGAGAGTATGAAGGGAGGGAGGGCGAGGGGAGGGGAGACGATCTCGTGAGAGCGGCATAGAGAGGTTAGGGAGGTCGAGCTGGTGTAGGTGCTATGAGCTCTCCGCGAGGATCCCGAGGAGGATCCCCCTTGACTCACTCTGCGGCGGGTTGGGCAACGTGCGCGCCGAGGTCGGCGGCACCTCGCACTGCACCGCCATCATAACCATAACGCACCAGATACAACTTCTTACAAAAGAAAAGAGATAGCGAAGTGAAATGTCAATCCAGAATCGATCTTGAATACCTCTGAATACGCGTGAATGTCGTTGAATATGTGTGGAATACCGTTGAATATGCGCACGAATACAGAAAAATGATAACTTGCAGATTGCAGAAAGTGATGGAGATGAGTATTAATATTGCTGAAATGTGTGAATATCTGAAAAAATGCGAATTTTGCTGAATATGTGTGAATATTTGTGACTATCAACGAATATAAGTAAATATCCTGAATACAAAGTTAATGTTTTTAATACCATTGAATGAATAATCTGAATATTCAGTTAAATAGCAAGATCCCGTACAATGAATATTCGAAGTTGCTTTCAGCTGACCCGTCACACATAACCAGAGACAGAGTCCGGAAACCACTAATATTTTTTACACACTACGTTTAGGGAAGCCAGATACCAATCACGTGTTTGAACTTCTGTTCTGTCTGAACTTCGGTTCCGTTCGCTTTTGATAGCCGCATTACCACAGACGAGGCTTCGCAGTGACCATGACAACAGCCAGTGGCGAGTTCCTTCTGGTGGTGCGTC